TAACAAGCTGGAGCTAGGTTCTCTGTAGGAAGTGATATTGGAGTAAGATAAGTGCCTTTCTCTTCTGCCAGTGCAGCTGTGTTGCATTTGTCCTGGTAGATATTTGTTCTTCCTTTCCTGGGAGAAAAAGTAGATTTTATGTGATAATTTCTGAGGCATTAATCACAGTTACTAAACTTGCTAGGTAAACTAAGACCATCCTGGAAATAAACATCACATTTTCCAAATCATTGAATTATTTTTAGAATTAGGTTTTCACGTTTTTAATGAAACTTTATTTTCTTCCGTGTCTCAAGTTCTATAGAATTCTAGAAATTCTTCCTCTTTTATGGAAGGCTTTATCCTGAGGCTAGGGTTGGTCTGTGAGGACCTTGGAAAGAGGATTTTCCCTTCCAGGTGCTGTTTGGATTGCTTGTTTTCCTGAGGATTTAGTTTCTCAAAATTCCCTTCTGTTTTGGATCTGATACCTGTAAGGCCACTCACTGTTAAGTAAGCAAATCCAAAACTAAAACATTGCATTGGTGGTATAGTGATAAACATAGCTGCCTTCCAAAACTGAGAATTTAACATGTCATATTCTTACAACCATTGAACTTGACATTGCAGAATATTTAAAATGATGAGAAAAGATTAACAATATGTTACTACCTGGAGAATGGAGAGAAAAAGTTTTAAAACATCCTGTAGAATACGATCCCAGAGTTGAATTTTAAACAGATGCACTTAGAACTTAAAGATACATGACAGATGCTGTGATTATTTCTGAGCGGTGGATTTGTGCCTATTTATAGTTTCTCTGTTTGTGTTTTCTCTGTGGGTTTCTTACTCCGTGAGGTTGAGATGGGTTGCAGGACGAGCTGGGATCTGTGCAGCAGTCGTGAGAGAGGAAGCAGCACAGTGCAGCACAGCCCAGGCCCAGGGCCCGATTGTGTGACTAGCAGGGAAAGGATGTTCAGTGTTCTAAGTAGGGCCCAAACCTGCATGTAAAGTCTTCTAATTCACATTTGGGAAACAGCCTCGCTGTAGCCCAGAGTGATTTTGTGTGAATTAAGGAAAGGTGCCTGTTCCTCAAAAGAATTTACTGCCACCTGCTGGAAAAGTATCGTAATAACTGTACAAAGCTAGGCAGACAATGAGGCAAACGTTGGATCTGTGCAGCACACAACTGTAGCACCCTTCTGGGGAAGACCCAGCTCTGTCCTCTGACCTAAGCTCTGCTGTGGGTTTGGAAATTTTACTTATTTTTGTTTCACTTTACTTTTTGTAGTACTGGGGGTTGAACTCAGCACCGTGACACAGAGATACATTCCCAGACATTTAAAAAAAAATTTTTTTTAAATTTTGAGTCAGGGTCTGAGTCAATGAATTACCCACTTTGGGTTTAAACTTGCAATTCTCTTGCATCATTCTTCCAGAGTGCTGGGGTGTCAGGCATGTGCCACCACACAGGGCTGGAAACTTTATTTTTTATATAGTTTTTAATATACCTTATTGTAGAAAATTCCAGATACACATAGAAGTAGAGAGTGGTGTATTAAGTCTTCATGTTACCATGTCCAGCTTCAATGATGGTTGACCTTTGGTTCCATTCTTTTGCATGCATCTTCCACAATATAGTATTTTTTTTAAAAATACTGTTATCATACCCAGAAGTATGTACTTTTTTAAAGCTCCAGATGATCTTGAAAGACAGATTTTAAACACCTTTGCAAAAGAGGAGAGGACAAAGGCAAGGGGAAGATCACACACAGCTTCCCGGAAGGGTGTTGATTTGTATTGGCAGCTGAGATTTTGTTGAGTTCTCTGGGTGGGTGGTTGGGTGGTGGGCACAATGGGCTCTGCTGTTTCACAGTGGCATTTCCTTCCCTCAAAGTCAGAGCACTTTCTGCCCTGTGGGACTGTGACTTCCTCTCTGGTTCCAACATTGGCTGCTCTCTCTCTCTCCAGTCTCCTCCACATTCCAATCATCTTTCCTTCTTGTTTCACGGGCATTAAGAACTGCTGAAAAGGATTAAAAGCCCCACTGGCTGTCTGACCTTATAGACCCAAGTCAAACCCAGAGCCTCTGCTCCTAACTAACCTCCACTCAGGACCAAGACTCTGCAGTCTCATGAAGCGTGGGTGGTAGTCACCCACAATGGAAAGCTCAAAGGAACACACAGCCCATGTGCAAATACAAATAGTCCAGAGGGAAGGAAGAACCTGCCTAAGGACCTCTTTGAATTCTCTTTGGAACCTCATGCAGTACTTTTTTTAGGGGAATTTCCTTATCCAAAGTTTCTCAAGTATATAATAGCTAATATTTTATTATTTTATTGCAACAAGAATAGGCCCGATAATGTCATTTTTCAATATTTCATGAACTGACATAATGTACACTGCAATAAAATCTGCAGGTATTTTTTTCCTTTATCCACCCCCCTCCTACTAGTAGGGATTGAACTCAGGGTGCTTTACCACTATGCTATGTCCCAATCCCTTTCTTTTTGAGAGAGAGAGTGAGTTCCCCAGGCTGGCATTAAACTAGCAATTCCCCTGCCTTGACTGCCCTAGTAGCTGGGTCCTCTGTTGTTTTAAAGGAATGCCATATGAAACAGAGAGTTCACAAACGAAGACCATCAGTGAGATGACAAGAGATATAAAAACACATGAGACTGCCTGCTGGTATTCAAGGACCAAGTGGGAGAATGCATTCTGTGCAACTCTTTCCTGAAAACAGTCATCAAGTACCCCACATGTGAAGTCCAGCCAATTTAGTTCAGGGGCCCCTTCTGTAAAATGGCCTGAGCTTCTGATCTGTGGTTCCCAATGTGAGGCATCATCAGCTTCATGGGGCAAATTGCTAGAAATGCAAATTGCTCATCTACTGAGTCAAAGATCTGTTGGAGGAATCCTCCAACTGATCGTGATGCAAACTGAACTTTGAGAACCATTCTGCTCTGTGGCAATCTTGCATTGGATACAGATGGCTCAAAGCCATGATTTGGCCTAGCAGATGAATACAAATAAAGTAATTTGTGTGCCTGACTCTTTAGATGGCTGCTCTCTAGTCAGAATCTGGCCTGCTTCACAATGGGGCTGGACTCTATCCTTGCCTGGTGTTCAGAGCAGGCTGTACCTGTTCTTCCCATTGGCTCTGCTCCTCTTGTCTCCCAGGAAGCTGGACGCCCCTATTGCTTTTGTCACCCTACCAGCTTGTGCTGTGGTTCAGATAAGAGTCACAGGGCTGAAAACTATACTCTAAATATAGCTGACCAGGGCCAGATAACAAAAATCGTATCTATTTTATGTAATAAGTTCCGGGAGGATTATATGTGTGAAGGCTATTCAGTTCAAATACCTACTAAACCCTTGGCAGCCCCACACTGGCTCTTTTACCACCTACTTTTCTTCTTTCACAAAACACCAGAGGCAGCCCTCCTACCCCAGTGCAGGGGTTGTGGGGAGGGACAGGGTGGCAAAGGGAAGCAGCATTGCTTTGCCCTGCAATGATTCAGCCAGTCAGGGTGTCCTGCTTCCTGAATGCCTCTGCTTCAGCTGTGGGTCTCCATACTCTGCTGTTCAAGGAGATGAGTAGTGGAGGTGGGAAAGGAAAGGGAGCCAGTCTGATGCAGACAGTGATGGATGACCTCAACCTGAAAATCCAGAACTCTGCTTCTGCGTGGCTGAGTTTCTTCAGAGCGATGTGGTTGGAATACATAATACTGAAATTCATTCTTTTCTTCTACATATCTGCCCAAACTCTTCTCTACTTTTGAGACATCCGAAATGTATTCAGGGAAAGAAGAAAGGGAAAAGGAAGGATGAGTATGGAGGGAGGTTGTCACATAGAATGCAAAAAAAAAAAAAAAAAAAAAAAAAATAAAAAAAAAAGTTGCCTGAAGTGTTCCTTACAACCAGATAAACTGGGCACTGGTATCAGTAATGCTTCCTAAATTCACAGTTATGTCAACAGGTGATTGACAGTAGCTCTTAGGGTTATGAACTCTAATATTTTAAAATTTGTATTTTTATTTTGGGAAAACCCAAAATATATGGACAAATATAATCTAGATCACTCGTATAAAGAATTTTTAATGGCATAGTGGTTTTATGTTTATTATCGGGTTAACACCTAGACCTAGAGAATTTTTTCCCCATTAAAAACTGAAGAAAGAGGAGTTCAATCTCAAGTACCCCCCCAAAAAAATTGAAGACAAATTATTCTAGTATACTGTTCACTGGGCTAGAAGTTATTCACGTTACCTAATTCCAGTTTAGACACTGAGAGAAAGATTCAACAAAACTTTAACTTAGTAAGAATCAGCAGGAGCAGCAACATCCTTAGGATTCTCTTTAAGCTCCAAGGATTTTAGCTAAAGTGAGAAAAACTACATTCTGCTTGTGAGTTTTTAATATGAAAGTGTGGAAATATTCACAAAAATACACATATGATTTACTCAATAATAGTGTATGAGACACCTTTCAAGTTAAATGTATTTTTGAAGTGTTATAAAAAGAAGTAGATTTATTATAGTAAATAAACTTTAAGTTGCATTTTTTGTTTCCTCTGGAGTAAGTTTAGTGTGTATATGTAACATTTTCATGATAATGTCGTCCAATTTATTTTTCGTCTGTACGTGAAGTTCTGTTTGCTTTTATTTTGTTTCTAATATTATGAGAACTTATTTTACACTTGATCTTAGCTAAAAGGCCAAGAAGTGATAAGAACTTATTTTAAAATGAGTAAGCATGAGATTGAGCAGATAGTGGGAGCAATAATATTTGAAAGTCTGAGGATTGGTTTGTGAGAATAATTGTTTACATGGGTTGCAAGTGTAAACAGACTTGTGGAAAAAACAAAGTTTGTAGTGGAAACAGTGGGCATTTGTGTCACACATCTAACTCATCTGTGACTGGTGATGTGAAAATGACCCCAACAGTCAAGTCCTGTCTCTCAAGGTGTTGAGGGCCCCCGGGAAGGGAACAGTGTTTGCAGGAGGCCATTTTTGTGTCCACAGGTGTGCACTTGTACTATGTTGGGGGAGAGGTGTATGCCGAATGCGTGAGTGACAGCAGCATCTTCGTGCAGAGCCGGAACTGCAACTATCAGCACGGCTTTCACCCGGCCACCGTCTGCAAGATCCCCAGCGGCTGCAGCCTCAAGGTCTTCAACAACCAGCTCTTCGCTCAGCTGCTGGCCCAGTCTGTTCACCATGGCTTTGAAGTGGTTTATGAGTTAACTAAGATGTGCACTATCCGCATGAGTTTTGTTAAGGTAAGTGCTTGCTTTCAAATTATTCAACAGAAAATGAAAAGCAAAACAAAAGGCAAAAGCACTCTTTGGCTGATGGGGCAGTTTACAGCCAGTGTGCGGTCCTTTTATTAGAATTCTGCTGGCAGTTGTTAGGAAGAACTCTGTGAGTATGAGCTGTCTTGTTCAGCACTATAGGAAAATTCTTAAGCATTTTACTTTTGGAAAAGAAATGAGGTAAAGTAGCTATCTTATTGTTTTTGTTATTAGAAGTCCACTTACTGGTTTTAATACAGAAGATAAAGTGACAGTAATAATTTTATAAGATTAAATGCTACGGAAAACTTCCCCATCCCTTATACTGCCAAGCATATTATCTCCTAGTAACTGAAGGTGAAGGTAAATTTACTTTAATTAAATAAGAAATTTTCACTCTTAAGAAACATAGGCAAATGGGGGAGAAAAATTGATAGAATAAGCTACACAAGAGAAATAGCTCTAGCAGAAGGCAGTGTAAATTATGTGCTGTCATAAAGGTACAAACAAACTTGGGTTGGATCATTGAGCCATGTGTGATCAGTCCTGAGAAAGTAGTATATGTTCAAGTTATGAATATTTGATGAATTCCTCAAATCTCATTAACATTGCTATAAAGGTTGGGGAACTGAGGAAGTTACTTAGTGGAAAGGAAAACTAACTGGATTTGCCCATTCATGCTAACAGCTGCATTTCATCACCTGCTGTTTTATTTGTTGCAAGATGTTTGCAGATCATTCAAATATTTCAAAACCTGACCTTGTTCATCAAACGACCTGAGTACAAGTCACACAGGTTTCACTATGCCACATCTCCATCCAGGGAAGCACTGTGACTAACTCCAGATTTTTCAAAATAAATTTTGTTAGCACTTTAAAGTTACCATGACAGATTGTCCTATTTTACTATACTCAAAGTATATCTTTGTTGTATTTATAATTGTTCGAAGTCAACCTGGGCAACCAAAATCTTGTGCATGTTAGGCAAGCATTCTATCTCTGAGCTATATCCCCAGTCCTTATAATATACTTTAACAAAAGAATCAATAATACATATTGTTATATTGTTTTCAGCTTTTACACTGGCTTCTTGTTTCTTTCTTTTTTTTTCTACCTCTGAGCTATATCCCCAGTCCTTATAATTTACTTTAACAAAAGAATCAATAATACATATTGTTATATTGTTTTCAGTTTTTACACTGGCTTCTTGTTTCTTTCTTTTTTTTTTTTTTTTTAGGCAGAGACTC